TCCCACATGCCGCAGAGCGGCTGAGCCCGTGAGCCATGGCCACTGAGCCTGCGCGTCCGGAGCCTGTGCTCCAGAACGGGAGAGGCCACAACAGTGAGAGGCCCGCATACCACAAAAAAAAAAAAAAAAGAAAGAAAGAAAATTACAGACCAGTATCACTGATGAATATAGATGCAAAAATCCTCAACAAAATACTAGCAAACTGAATCCAACAACACGTTAAAAGGATCATACACCATGATCAAGTGGGATTTATCCCAGGAATGCAAGGATTCTTCAATATACGCAAATCAATCAATGTGATACACAATATTAACAAATTGAAGAATAAAAACCATACGATCAACTCAATAGATGCAGAAAAAACCTTTGACAAAATTCAACATGCATTTATGATAAAAACTCTCCAGAAAGTGGGCACAGACGAAACTTACCTCAACATAATAAAGGTCATATACGACAAACCGACAGCAAACATCATTCTCAATGGTGAAAAACTGAAAGAATTTCCTCTAAGATCAGGAACAAGTCAAGGATGTCCACTCTCACCACTATTATTCAACATAGTTTTGGAAGTCCTAGCCACAGCAATCAGAGAAAAGAAATAAAAGGAATACAGATTGGAAAAGAAGAAGTAAAACTGTCACTGTTTGCAGATGACATGATACTATACATAGAGAATCCTAAAAATGCCACCAGAAAACTACTAGAGCTAATCAATGAATTTGGTAAAGTTGCAGGATACAAAATTAATGCAAGAAATCTCCTGCATTCCTATACACTAATGATGAAAAATCTGAAAGAGAAATTAAGGAAACACTCCCATTTACCACTGCAACAAAAAGAATAAAATACCTAGGAATAAACCTACCTAGGAAGACAAAAGACCTGTATGCAGAAAACTATAAGACACTGATGAAAGAAATTAAAGATGATACCAACAGATGGAGAGATATACCATGTTCTTGGATTGGAAGAATCAATATTGTGAAAATGTCTATACTACCAAAAGCAATCTACAGATTCAATGCAATCCCTATCAAATTACCAATGACATTTTTTACAGAACTAGAACAAAAAATCTTAAAATTTGTATGGAAACACAAAAGACCCCAAATAGCCAAAGCAGGCTTGAGGGAAAAAAACGGAGCTGGAGGAATCAAACTCCCTGACTTCAGACTACACTACAAAGCTACAGTAATCAAGACAATATGGTACTGGCATAAAAACAGAAACATAGATCAATGGAACAAGATAGAAAGCCCAGAGATAAACCCACACACCTATGGTCAACTAATCTATGACAAAGGAGGCAAGGATATACAATGGAGAAAAGACAGTCTCTTCAATAAGTGGTGCTGGGAAAACTGGACAGCTACATGTAAAAGAAGGAAATTAGAACACTCCCTAACACCATACACAAAAAGAAACTCAAAATGGATTAGAGACATAAATGTAAGACCAGACACTATAAAACTCTTAGAGGAAAACATAGGAAAGACACTCTGACATAAATCACAGCAAGATCTTTTGTGATCCACCTCTTAGAGTAATGGAAATAAAAACAAAAATAAACAAATGAAACTTAAAAGCTTTTGCATAGCAAAGGAAACCATAAACAAGACGAAAAGACAACCCTCAGAATGGGAGAAAATATTTGCAAACAAATCAATGGACAAAGGATTAATCTCCAAAATATATAAACACCTCATGCAGCTCAATATTAAAGAAACAAACAACCCAATCCAAATATGGGCAGAAGACCTAAATAGACATTTCTCCAAAGAAAACATACAGATGGCCAAGAAGCACATGAAAAGCTGCTCAACATCACTAATTATTAGAGAAATGTAAATCAAAACTACAATGTGGTATCACCTCACACCAGTTAGAATGGGCATCATCAGAAAATCTACAAACAACAAATGCTGGAGACGGTGTGGAGAAAAGGGAACCCTCTTGCACTGTTGGTGGGAATGTAAATTGATACAGCCACTATGGAGAACAGTATGGAGGTTCCTTAAAAAACTAAAAATAGAACTACCATATGGTCCAGCAATCCTACTACTGGGCATATACCCAGAGAAAACCATAATTCAAAAAGACACATGCACCCCAATGTTCATTGCAGCACTATTTACAACAGCCAGGTCATGGAAGCAACCTAAATGCCCACTGACAGACGAATGGATAAAGAAGATGTGGTACGTATATACAATGGAATATTACTCAGCCATAAAAAGGAATGAAATTGGGTCATTTGTTGAGATGTGGATGGATCTAGAGACTGTCATACAGAGTGAAGTAAGTCAGAAAGAGAAAAACAAATATCGTATATTAACGCATGTATATGGAACCTAGAAAAATGGTACAGATGAACCAGTTTGCAGGGCAGAAATTGAGACACAGATGTAGAGAACAAACGTATGGACATCAAGAGGGGAAAGCGTGGGGGGATGGGGATAGTGGTGTGATGAACTGGGTGATTGGGATTGACATGTATACAGTGATGTGTATAAAATTGATGACTGGGGCTTCCCTGGTGGTCCAGTGGTTGAGAGTCCGCCTGCCGATGCAGGGGACACGGGTTCGTGCCCCAGTCTGGGAGGATCCCACATGTCGCGGAGCGGCTGGGCCCTTGAGCCATGGCCGCTGGGCCTGCGCGTCCGGAGCCTGTGCTCTGCAACGGGAGAGGCCACAGCAGTGAGAGGCCTGCGTACCGCAAAAAAAAAAAAAAAAAAAAAAAATTGATGACTAATAACCTGCTGTATAAAAAAATAAATAAAATAAAATTTAAAACTTAAAAAAAAAGAATGTACAGGAGGCAACACAAATAACAGAGAATGGTCAAGACTCCTGAGAATGACTGACAGGCTCCTGAAGCCTCAAAGGTGTAAGAAGATGAAGCCAATCTACAGTGCCTCTCTGTGCCTAGCACAAGTCCTGGGAAATGCAGAATGCACACCATCTTCAAGAGGTTCCCAGTCTCGTTGGGATGATCAGACAAATCATTATTGCTCACATTTGAAAAGCCAGCACCTTTAGCCTCTTTCCAACCACTGATATCAGCAATAGCTTCAATCAGACCATGAGCCTCAAATATGAAAGGAAATGTACATTTCCTCAAATAAAGTGAGGACTGATTTTCACAGACCCAGATGAACATTAGTCCTGACTTATGACTCAGAATTGCTGACACCTGCATCCTGGGTTGCACTGTGGTTCCAAAGACAGATTTTGGTTCCAAAGACAGGATTTTTGAGACAAACTATTGGAGGACAGAGGGAACGAAAAGTGCCCACCAAACTGAGAAGGCATCTTGAGACCAAAAAATGAGGCAGGCAGCTCTGTATAATCAATGGATCGGTTTATCATAGGTAACTTACTCAGAGGGTGGGATCTGGATTGGGTGGACAACAATCCAGAAGCATTCACAGCTGCACTTCCCACCACCAAGGGGCCATTGGGACAATTTTATAGTGCTTGGGAGTAGGTGCTTGGAAAGAGGGCGTGCACTCCCCAAGCCAAGATTTATGAATGGGTAAGTAGTCTCGTGGGTGCCGGGAATACAGTAGGGGAGGGTTTTTATCATTGTTTGGGGACTAACAGAGCATAGAGGCTACCTGGTCCTAATGATTATTAAACAATGTCTATTAACTACAAAGCCCTTGATGACAGAGAAGTGAGTCACTGCACAGTACAGTCCTGGGTAGGGTCAGTGGAAGGACAGGAGAAACTGTAAGGGTCCATGATGGTGCCAGTTATGCTAACAGCCATACACAAACATTACACTGCAGTTACATGGAAGACTGATTCTTTTTTCATGCCCTCCCTAGCAGATGGAGCTGGATTATATGACCTTAACTTTGCCCACTAAATGCTCGTGCCAGAGGATATGCCCTCCACCCCTCAGCTTACATGGGTTTCAATCCCCTGCTTAGACTGCAGAACAAATTCAGCTTCCTTTAGCGCTTCCCAACCCGCAATGTAAAATGCTCTGCCTCCTTATTCACTTTTGGTTCCCTCTTTTTTTCATTGTCTCCACCAGGAGTGACTCATGATTCATACAAAGTCAAAATTCTCATAGCTCCAGGGGACAGAGGGGAAATCTGCTGAGTAAGTTCAGTTGCTTCAAAGTGAATTGTGTACATTAGAAAAATCGTTGCTGGAGAATGGACTCTGGATCCCTCACATCTGGCCCTTGCAAGGAAGGGGGACAGGACGGGGGTGGAAGAAATCCTGGTGGAAAGGTCTGTGCTTAGACATGGCAGCTCCCAGGGCTGGTCCCGACCACTGGACCACTGCCTTCTGTGTCTCAGGACAGGACTCCTGCCCACCCGACCTCAAGCAGGTCCATCTTGGGGAAGCAGAGGGCCAACTGGTAAAGAAGCCACAGGGACAACCCCTTCCCACCCCCAGCTCCAAAAGTATAAAAACAAGTTTTCCTTCATGGCCAAACTTAGGAGGTCTGGTTTTAGATAAAAGGAGAAAAACTTGCTCATCCAAACTCTCTTCCAACTTCTCCATCTAAGTATCTTGCAAGAGGCATCTAAGATCACCTTCACCAACTTCCCCTTTTGCTGGGATTGACCTCTTACCTTCACCTGTGTAAGAACAAATATAAGCTGGTACAGAGGTTGAGGAAGCCGACAGAGCAAAGCTTCCTGGGCTTAGATGGGCGTCACCTGGGGTGGCTCTGGTCTTAGGGGTGAGTCTGTTTGGGGCCCTCCAAGCAGTGAAACAATGCCCAATGGAGTCTGAGAGTTTCTGAATCAGAGGAGAGTCAAAGAGCATTCCTGTAACTAGGACTATGGTTTCTGGTCAATGCATTATAGTATATTTTATGATAAAAAAGAACAGCTATTCCTCGAGGAACCTGAGATTTTTAAGCATGCCACATAGGTTACAGCAGAAAAATTTTTTTTATTCAGTGAATATTAAACTGTTAACTGATAAATATACAACAATGACAATGAAAACAGAAGACAAATTGGACTCACGTTTCTCCAGGGCTGGATTCCTAGGAGACAATACTCTTCTCTTTCTGCTTCTTTCCTGAATAAAAACACAGCATAAAGTTCTGACTACAAATTTCTTTAAGAGAGATCTTGTGAGTTCTGCAAGAGCAAGAGCCTAGAAAAAAACAGGGACATGAACATCAAGGTCCAGACACAGGAGAAGAAAGAGGAGACTGTCTAGCTTCACTGTCCCTCCTAGCAGGACCGGTACAAAGGAGGGTCAGCTGCAAAGTCTCCTAAGACTGCTTCCCCTGGGAAGCCCTTCACTTCTGTCTCCTTGAAGCACGCAGAGGAGGAAACACTCTTCTGTGGCTTTAATTCTGCAAAAGCTTCGAGTCTGATAGGAAATCACCTACACCTGATTAGCAAGGCTCAAAGGCAAGGGAAGGAGAGAGAAAGGGAAAGAGGATCTACTGGGAAAACATAATACAAATACAGAGAAGCCAACACAGGTCCATTACAGGCTCTACAAAACGGTCCCTGCTGTCTTCAAAATGAGGAAAGTCAACAACATTCCAAAAACAGTCAGAGGGGAATCCTGCTGCCCAGTAACGAGGGAATGAAGCCAACAACTTTAAATTATAATCCTCATCATTTAAACTGTAAATAGAAGTGGATAGGGACTTCCCTGGTGGCACAGTGGTTAAGAATCCACCTGCCAATGCAGGGGACATGGGTTCGAGCCCTGGTCCGGGAAGACCTCACATGCCGCAGAGCAACTAAGGCCATGCGCCACTACTACTGAGCCTGCACTCTAGAGCCCGGGTGCCGCAACTACTGAAGCATACATGCCTAGAGCCCATGCTCCACAACAAGCCACCGCAATGAGAAGCCCGAGCACCGCAACGAAGAGCAGCCCCCATTTGCCACAACTAGAGAAAGCCTGCACGCAGCAACGAAAACCCAAAGCAGCAAAAAAAAAAAAAAAAAAGTGGATAAAGGTGCTAAATCTCAGAAGAAAAAAAGAGATAAAAAGAAATAGTTAAGAACAAGCGGCAAGAAAAAGCAAAGTAGAGGTTGACAAAGGAAGGAAGCCAGAATGGAAATAAATCATTTGGAAGGTTCAAATACGGTCCTCACTGAACTCAGAAAGGGTTCGGTGTACCCTTCTCTCAGCGGAGTCACACAGGATAATACTCCTGTGAAGCAGGAAGAGTACAAAGTGTACTCAAAGCCTCGTACCTGAGCATGCAAGTCTAGCGTTTCTTTCCCACTCTGCTGAGCACGACTGGCTTCTGCAGGTGTTCTGAATCCCACTCCCCTGCAGGCCAGCGAGAGCTGCATCCTAGCAAACCTCCCTGGAAGCTGCTTTCTTAAGGAGAACCCACTGCCCGGAATGGCATGACAAGAAAAGGAGTATTTCCAATTTGCTTCTTTAATAGAGTTTATTCTTGATCCATTGGTTTAATTATAAAGGCCCACTCTATTTCTCTAATTTAGAATTCATACTTTGCTACTGGCCTTTTTCTTTTTTTTAAATTGGGCATGTATTAGATCATGTGAAAATTTAAGACATCCCTTGTTTCACCAGCATGAAAATGACAAGACTCTGATCGTTATTATATTGAAATCCTACCTGGTAGTTTTAATAAAATATAGAAATCTAATGTATATTCTTCCCTAACTTGTAGTCCAATGCCAAAAATTAACTCCAAATGAATCAAGACCTAAACACAAAAGCTAAAACTATAAGACTTCTAAAACACAGGAGGAAAACTGCACACCTGTGGTAGGCAGCCTCTAAAATGGCCCCTAGTGGGAATTCCCTGGTGGTCCAGTGTTTAGGACTCTGTGCTTCCACTGCAGGGGGGCCTGGGTTCCATCTCTGGTCAAGGAACTAAGATCCCACAAGCCACACAGTGAGGCCAAAAAACAAAAATTCCAAAAAACCTAGTGAACCGACTTCCTGCTATCCCAACCCATCTGTAACCCCCTACCCTTGAGAGTGAGCTGGGTATAGTGACTCTCTTCCAGTGAATAGAGTGAGGCAGAGGTGATAGGATATCACTTGCAAAATTAGACTGACACAAATGAGTGTGTGTATAACTGTGAGGTCTGAACAAGCTCTATGGATTGTACCAATGTCAGTTCCTTGGGATGTTGTCTTCGGGGGAAGGGACATGGAGGAAGGAGGAATGCATGAGATTTCCCTGTACATTTCTTTGCAGCCTTCTGTGAATCCATAATTATTTCTAATTTAAAAATATTATAAATGTGGTTTTTTTTTATAGTGAGTTAATCTCAGGGAATTCCCTGGCAGTCCAGTGGTTAGGACTCGGCACTTTCACTGCTGGGGCCTGGGTTCAATCCCTGGTCAGGGAACTAAAATCCTGCAAGCCACACAGTGAGGCCAAAAAATAAAATAAAATAATAAAAAAGTGAGTTAATCTCAAAAAAGGAAAAAAAAAAGGAATGTGGCTTCCATCTTGCCCCAGCACCCCCACTCCTTGCTCTGGGGTAAGGCAGCTACCATGTTGGTAGCTGCCCAATGAGAGGCCCATGTGGCAGAACTGAGGGGACGTCCAGCAAACAGCCAGTGAGGAACTAAGGACCTCAGTCCAACAACCCTCAGGGAACTGAATCCTGCCAATAACCAGGTGAGTGCTCTAGGAAGCAGATCCTCCCCCAATAAAGTGTTCAGATAAGTTGACCATGGCCAACTGCAACCTCTTAAGAGACCCTAAACCAGAACCACCCAGCTAAGCTGCTCCCAGATTTCTGACCCACAGAAAGTGAGAAAATAAACGTTTGTCATTTTAAGCTGCTGAGTTTTGGGATAATTTATTATACAGCAATAGATACTAATAGAACAACCTTAAGGTAGGCAAAATTTTCTCAAATAAAACCCAAATAGCATGAATAATAAAAGGAAAACAGTGATAAATTGGACTTCATCAAAATTAAAAACTTCTGCTTTTCAAAAGACACCATTATGGCGACAGGGTGGGGGAGAAAGAAAGAGAAAAAAAGGCAAGTCGCAGAATGGGAGAAAGTATTCACAATACATATATTTGATAGAGGACTTGTATCTAGAATAAAGAACTCTTACAACTCAATAAAACAAACAACCCATTAAAATATAAGCAATAGATATTTCAAAAAAGATGTGCAAATAAACTCAGAAGAATAACAAAAATAAAAAAGACTGACAATACCATGTATTGGTGAGGATATGGAACAACTGGAACTCTTATACATTGCTGGTGGGGATGTAAAATGGTACAACCACTATGGAAAACAGTTTGGCAGTTCCTTACGAAATTAAACATTTACCTACCGTAAGAGTCAGCAATCCCACTCCTGGAGATTTATTCAAGTGAAATGAAAACATATTCAGGGACTTCCCTGGTGGCGCAGTGGTTAAGAATCCGCCTGCCAATGCAGGGGACATGGATTCGAGCCCTGGTCTGGGAAGATCCCACATTCCGGGGAGCAACTAAGCCTGTGAACCACAACTACCGAAGCCCGAGTGCCTAGAGCCCTGTGCTCCTCAACAAGAGAAGCCACCTCAATGAGAAGCCTGCACACCGCAACAAAGAGTAGCCCCCACTCGCTGCAACTAGAGAAAGTCCGCGAGCAGCAAGGAAGACCCAACATAGGCAAAAATTAATTAATTAATTTAAAATATATATTTTTAAAAAAGAAGCAGCTAAGGGATGGGACTTCCTTGGTGGTCCAGTGGTGAAGATTCCACACTTCCAATGCAGGGGGAATGGGTGTGATCCATGTTTGGGGAACTAAGATACCACGTGCCATGTGGTGTGGCCAATAAATAAATAAATAGATGTATGTAAAAAAACAAAAAACATATTCAAAGCAGCTTTATTCATGATAGCCCAAAACTAGAATGACCACCAACAGATAAATGGATAAACACAGTGTGTTACATCCCTAGACTAGAACACTACTCAGCAATAAAAAGATACGAATTACTAATGATGCTGTAACATGAATAAATATAGAAAACATTATATTGACCAGAAGAAGCCAGACACAAAAGAGTACGTACAATATGATTCTGTTTATATGAAACCCTAGAAAATACAAACAAATGCTATTATGACAAAAATCAGGCCAGTAGGGCTAGGAGTGGGGGTGTCTGACTGCAAAGAGACCCTAGGAAACGTAAGGGTGATGGAAGTGTTTTATTGTGGTGGTGATTATAACTGTGTACAACATTGTCAAAATTCATCAAAATGTACACCTAAAATGGGTACATATTATTGCATTAAATTATACATCAATAAAACGTTAGCTTAAAAAGTTATTAGGCATGTATCAAATAAACTGAAAACTTAAAACGTCCTGACTACTTTGTTTCCCAACATGAAAGTGACAGGACTATGATCATTATATTGAAAACACACCAGGCAGTTGTAATAACATATAGAAACCCTGGATTTAATTTTTCTTCCCTGATACTCATTCAAATACCGGTCAGTCAAATATTTAAAGAGTAAACACAACGTGCAAGTCACATATAAAGAAAACATAGTACATAAGTTTAATGAATAGAAGAATTAGTTATTTAATTCCCAGCTTGAAGCTCTACCTTTACAACAATGTATCTGGTAAGTACATATTTAAAATTCTAATTCTAATGGTAAAGAAGTTGATGAAGTCAGACACTGCAACTCTAAATTCTGGAGATTTTCCTACTCTTGTACTGATGACTCCCCTATGTAGGATTGCATCATTCATTCATGCTGTTTGGCAACAGGCAGCAGTGGGATAAAACAAGTGAAAACCATTCAAAAGTAAACGGATAAAAAAAAGCCTTGGAATCCCATGAAATACTTTATCTATCCCGATTAAGGAAAATAAATGTAGAATCACAGAGGCCCTGGATGTAGGACAGGCAGACCGGTAATCAGAAAGTTGGGCACACGGAGAGATAAACACATGCCCGGACTTACCCGGGCGCTGCTGCTAGTTCCTGGGCCGCTGCCACCGCCTCCAGGTCTCCCGCGGCTGTAACCGTCCGACTGCAGGGGGGCCGAGGGCTGGCTCCGACGTGGAGTCGCGGAGTTCCGAGGGAGGTGACCTATGTAGACCCGCAGAGCCTTTACCAAACAATCATGAGATCTGCTGATAAGTGCGGTGGCTTCTGGCCGGGTTTGCATGCACTTTACTAAACTGGAGCCCGTAGACCTCCGCTCTGCAGGGCCGGGCAGCCCTTGGCCCCGCCCCCGAAGGAGGGACTCCCTGAGCCCGCCCCCTCCTCCCTCCGGGGGCTCAGCGCTGGCGGATCTAGACTTGAACTCCGCGGGGGACGCTATCCCGCAAAGCCTCGGGCCACACCACCTCTACTTTGCGGAGGAGGAACAAAAGAGCTTGCGTGCTACCCAAGCGCTCCCCACCGCCACCACCACTTGGGATAAGAGTACGTGAGAGGAGCGAGGGACCTCTGCACTGATTTTGCACTTAACGAAAGCCCCTTAGGGACCTTTTTTGAAATCCACGTTTGGCTTTATGCTGTTGTAGGAATGTAAGTCCCAAGAGAACTTCAAAAACTACTTACATTCGCAAATGCAAAAAACCGTGAGTAACGAAATGAGTCTTTGCACATTGTTTTTTTTGTCATCTTATTTTCTTCTAGGTGTCACTTGCCCAGCTACTTTTATGTTGACTACAATGAATAAGTGATTGCCCCCAAACATTTACTTTTGGGTACAGCTGGCTGGAGCTGGGCAGTGAGGTCCTACCCTAAAACACAACCTGAAACCTCAGATACTGACAGTCATGTCTGCAGGCTCCTTCCAAAACTGGTCAATCAGGCAGAGGGGATGCAATTGCTGGAGCAAGACTCGCTCGGTCACAGCATCCCTGCCCTTTGCTACAGGACCCCTCAAAAAACACAATTCTATCCAGAAACAAAAGCCCTGATGCTCCGTGGTCACATGTGCCTTTGAAGTTCAATGTTCTCAGATTTCATTAGTAAGAAAATGTTTGCAGGTTTGGGGCACACCCGGTTTAATTTCTCCCCAGATCTGCCAGAGATGGTTTTGATGAAGGATGGAAAGGAGGAATTTTGATGTTTTGAAATATGAGGTAAAAGATTATACAATTAGTAGGGCAGGGCAAAATAAAGGGATCTAAAATAACAGTCTAGTCAAGAATTTGTTTATATTTTATGATAAGTAATTTAAAAATAAGTATAATAAAAGAAACAAGATGTTAAACACCAAATATTTACTTGTATATAAGTATAAAATGGTAACTGAGAATTTATTTCAAGAGGAAAAGAAACCCAAGTACAATAAATGTGCTATTTTTGCTATTATTCATATTTCATAGATGTTTAATATTAAATAGATTTCAGATAAAATATACCAAATAAAATCTGTCAGCTATTTACGGTCCCTGTACCCACCTCACATTTACACCTGTATTAACACTTGTGGATGTGAGGTGGCAGTGTTGTAGGCACTGTTTAGATAGAACACATACCATTAAAAAAAAAAAAAAATGTTGTCCAGAGGAAGCTAATGGGTGGTCACAGATACATATAACAATCAGGAAGTAATACATGTAACAATCAGGCAAGGCATAACTATATAAACAGATTTTAATATGCTTATTGTTGTTCCTCTGGAATATGTTAAATAGCACACCTAAACCAAATACAATGTAGTATAATGAAGCCATAATCAAAACATTAGCAAGTTATTTTGCAAATAATAACTGGCTATTAAAAAGTAATACAAGTAATACTAGTGTTCCTGAAAGGTTTTCTACAGATCACATTTTTATAAGCTAACAAATTTTCTAATGATTAACTATGTTAGAATCAAGTACTATTTTTTTAAAAAAGTAATTCAGTGCTAATAAAATAGCCTTCTAAAATATAGAATGTTGAAACAGTCACTCTAGAAAACAATATAGTATTATTGAGCAATATTGAACCTGCACATTTTCTATGACCCAGCAATTCCACCTCAAGAATGCACTCAGGGGGCTTCCCTGGTGGCACTGTGGTTGAGAGTCCGCCTGCCGATGCAGGGGGCGCGGGTTCGTGACCCGGTCTGGGAAGATCCCACATGCCGCAGAGCGGCTGGGCCCGTGAGCCATGGCCGCTGAGCCTTCGCTTCCGGAGCCTGTGCTCCGCAACGGGAGAGGCCACAACAGTGAGAGGCCCGCGTACCGCAAAAAAAAAAAAAAAAAAAGAATGCACTCAGAAGAAACTCTCATACATGAGTACTGAGAGTCACATAGGAGAATATTCACAGCAGTACTGTATATATATAAATAGTCATTGACTGGAAACTTTAAAAAGATAATATCACTTAATATCGTAAATGATAACTCATAACATAAAATTCAGAATGGTATTTACCTCTAGGGACAGAAAAGGAAATAAGACTGGAAAGAGAGTATAAATAGACTTAGTTCTTTAATGGTATTGACAGTGTTCCTTTATTTTAAGGGCAGTGCATATACAGGACTTTTTTTGTATCTGTGTATATATAAAAGATTTTATAATGCATGTAATATTTTATATCAGTACATTAAATGCCAATATATTAAAACATCATAAACATTTTAAAAGAATATACTTAAAGAAAAAATACAATTTAATGTAAACATTGACATTCAAAATGTCACACCCTGAAAATATGTCCATGATATGTCATGTAAATAAAGCAGGTTGCAGAACATTATATATAGCTTAATTCCCTTTTTTTTTTTTTTTTTGCGGTATGTGGGCCTCTCACTGTTGTGGCCTCTCCCGTTGCGGAGCACAGGCTCCGGACGCGCAGGCTCAGCGGCCATGGCTCACGGGCCCAGCTGCTCCGCGGCATGTGGGATCTTCCCGGACCGGGGCACGAACCCGTGTCCCCTGCATCGGCAGGCGGACTCTCAACCACTGCGCCACCAGGGAAGCCCTTAATTCCCATTTTTGAACAAAGAAAACTCTGTGTATGTATAAACATGTGCGGTATATGATTATATGTCTATGTCTGCATATAGTTGTTAATTCTGGGGAGTAAAAGGAATGAAGAATTTACCTTTCTACTTTATTTGGTTTCGCAGATATAGAGAACAGACTTGTAGTTGCCAAGGGGGAGGGTAGGTGGGGGAGGGAAGGATTGGGAGTTTGGGTTTAGCAGATGCAAACTATTATATATAGGATGGATAAACAACAAGGTTCTACTGTGTAGCACAGAGAATTATATTCAATATCCTGTGATAAATCATAATGGAAAAGAACATGAAAAAGAATATATATATGTATAACTGAATCGTGTTGCTGTACAGCAGAAATTAACACAACATTGTATATCAACTATACTTCAATAAAATTTTTAAATATATCTAAAGTAACTTCTCTTAGGTCATAATAGTTGCTTGGAAGAATAAATTCTGATAATTTAAAAAATGGTGTAAATCTATATCTATTGACAAAGAAGAACTTTGGGACATATTATTGAATAAACATGCAGAATACAAAACAGCATATATAGTATGAGCTTATTCTTATAAATCTGTGTATAACTGAGAGACGTTTGGAATGTTTACCAAAATGTTGAGTAGTTGCCTCTCAATGATTTTCATTCTTCCTTGTACTCTTTTGTATGACTTGAACTTTCTACATGATTATGCATTATGTATTATCTTTGGCATTAGGGAAAATATACAGCTATCTTTATAATGTAGAAAAATGGGGAAATTTTACATTACAAAGTAAAATGATTATGATATAGGTACTGCAGTTATGTATGACTGAATGTCCGCCCCCCACCCCATAAATTATATAAAGCAACAGGGAAAATAGGAAGGAAAAAAAGAAACATGAAAATCCCATATTCCGCAACACTAGGAGGCAAAGAGCAACGGGAGACTACAAGACCTGAGTAAGGATTACCAAGAGCATTTGAGATTGGGCAGAGGTTGCATGGCAAGAGACTCTTGGAGTGTTTAAGGGAAACAGCAGCAGCAGATCCCAGAAAACACCAGCAAAAACAGACTCCCAGAGGATGAGAAAATAGATTCACTGAGGATGAGAAGTTCATGCGAAAGTGAAAATGTTTGTTGTTCTAAACAATCAGAGCAGAAGTAGAGATAAAAAGAACTGAGGTTGGGTTAAAGCTATAGGGAACATAGTAGAAAGAGGAGGTAGAGAATGTCCAAAAGAATGTCTGGGAAACTCAGATATGAAAATCTCAGAAAGTAGATAAAGAGCTCACCTAAAATCCAGGGGCTATGTTTCCTGTGTGCAATGACTAGTGATGATGCCAGAGAGCACAGGTCTGGGGCAAAAGCCCTGTTTAGAATAGAGAAGCAAAGAAAGCAGGGCTACACAAAAACTACAAAAAGGGCCACATTGAATGAGACAATCTGATCGTGGCACCTGAAAACCTTTGCACTGTGAAATCTGGAAAACTACCTTAGTCTCTCTTGCTCTTCCTTCACAGAAGACACTTGAAAATGGTTGGAAAACACAATTCATTTAATAATGGATTAAAAAACGAAAGAAGAAAGGTAAGCTGGGACGAAGTGAGAGAGTGGCATGGACATATATACACTATCAAATGTAAAATAGATAGCTAGTGGGAAGCAGCCGCGTAGCACAGGGAGATCAGCTCGGTGCTTTGTGACCACCTAGAGGGGTGGGATAGGGAGGGTGGGAGGGAGGGAGACGCAAGAGGGAGGGGATATGGGGGTATATGTATACGTATAGCTGATTCACTTTGTGATACAGCAGAAAATAATACACCATTGTAAAGTGATTATACTCCAACAAAGATGTTAAAAAAAGAAGAAGAAAGTGACAAACACCTTTGTTATGAGATGAACTGTGTACCCCAGAAGTTTGTATGCTGAAGTTCTAACGCCTAGTACCTCAGAATGTGACTCTATTTGGAGATAAGGTCTTTAAAGAAATGATTAATTTAAAATGAGTTCTTTAGATTGAGCCCTAAACTAATCTGACTGGGGTCCTAATAAAAAGAGAAAATTTGGATGCCAGAAATGCAAGTGTGCACAGAACAAAAACTATGTGAGGCCACAGTGAGAAGGCAGCCATCTGCAAGCCAAGGAGAGTGGCCTCAGAAGAAACCAAACCTGCCGACACCTTGATCTTGGACTTCTAGGCTGCAGAGCTTTGAGGGAAAAAAATTTTATTTTTTAAGCCACCCAGTCTGTGGTATTTTGTTATGCAGTCTAATGCAACCTTTCATACAAAATTACTATTAAAATGGTAGAAAAGAGCAGATAATCTTACCCATAGACAAAAAATACACACTAGAAAACTAGAAAACTGTTGGCCACAGAAGAAATGAAAGCTGTGACTGAGTATACATTCTGCCTTGATATTTAAAAACACAATGGGACTTCCCTGGTGGCACAGCAACGAAGACCTATGCAGCCAAAAATTAATTTATTTATTTATTTATTTATTTTTTAAAAACGACAAATCATGAAGTGAGAAAAAAATATTTGCAGAACTAATTTCCCTAATATAAAAAGAAGTCCTAGAAAAAAGAACAAGAACAATAATCCATAGAAAAATGAGAGAAGATGTACAGTGCTCAGATAAAGAAAAACAAATGGCTTTAAAACATAGGAAAGCAGCTCAATTTCACTTACATGAAATGCAAATTAAAACTATACTGAATGGGGCTTCCCTGGTGGCACAGTGGTTGAGAGTCCGCCTGCCGATGCAGGGGACACGGGTTCGTGCCCCGGTCCGGGAAGATCCCACATGCCGCAGAGTGGCTGGGCCCGTGAGCCATGGCCACTGAGCCTGCACGTCCAGAGCCTGTGCTCCGCAACAGGAGAGGCCACAACAGTGAGAGGCCCGTGTACCGCAAAAAACAAAACAAAACGAAAACTATACTGAATGATTTCTCACTGTTGTATAAAGAAGTTACAAATAAGGAAAGCAGAAGCACTAGAATGAACCTTGTGGTATTGGATTAGAATTGAAAGTATGAGTATAAATGGATGGTTTTTGTATATATGCAGACGGATATAGATATGTATGTGTTCATACAAATATTCTGCTGAGAGGGTCTAGTGGCAATGACACCCTAGTAGCAGTAAGCATACCTAGCATCCAGATATTACTTTCCAAATACGATTAACCAATAAGAAGTCCAGAGCTCTTTGGAGAAATGGCTGGTTTCATGGCTGGGGCTAAGAAAATACAAGATGTGTTTGGAACATTTTATACTGTGCTGCCAGAAAGTAAAGTGCTCAGAAAATGATGGGGACAAGGCAAAAAACAAAGAACCAACTTGAAGAGCTCCTAATTTGAGGATCAAAATAAAGACTATAACTGACTACAATCTAAGAATAAAACAAGAATCCTTGAGAGAAGGGGAGAAGGGAAAGATCTTCCTTACAGTAGCATTCCAATTAACATAAATATATAAAGAATGATCAAAATATGATAAAGGAGGCAAGAATATACAATGGAGAAAAGA